TGAACAATGTCCTTTGTAAGATAAAATAATCTTTAAAACAAGCTGTGAGGATGGGGGAAGCAGCTATTGCTATGGTAGTAAAGAACAACCATGTAAAAAGCCTGGCCGAGAGAGACAGAAGGACCATTTTAGGTAACGCATCCCCTGCCTCTTACCCACTGACCACTGCCCAACAGCCTATGTTTCCAGGGCTATTTTTGGGCAGGAACGCACAGGAACGGAGTTCCGGCTGGCTCCCAAGTTGGCCACGCCCAGCAGGAACTCATTAGCATAATAGGCCACACCCAACAGCAGAAACTCATTAGGACTGGCTACATTAGGGGTGTGTGGCCTAACATGCAAAGAAGTTCCTGCTACAAAAAAAGGCCCTGGGTTTTGACAACAAGCAAGGTAAACAGAATAAGAAGCAAAAGGTGGGTGTGGCTGGATGACCACACTTCTGGTAGCATGGGGGTGTGGCCTAATATGTTAATGTGCTGTGGTGTCAGGGGTGTGGCCTAATAGGATAATTAGTTCCTGCTGTTAGGTGTGGCCTATTATGCTAATGAGTTCCTGCTGGGCTTTTTCTACAAAAAGAGCCCTGTTAATGTTTCTATGCACAATACATCTCAATTTTCTTCCTGCAGGGGGCGGGTAAGGACAAATCTGGCTCCTGCTCCCATTTGAGGTTAGAAGTGATCAGGGGTCATTTCCTGCAGGAGCGCACAGGAGCGGAGCTCTGGCAGTAAAGAGCCCAGGGGGTGGGCACATGCAACAAGCCCCACCCCCTGCTCCCAGCAGCCCTCAGACAGACCAAGAAGCAGTCAGGTAAGCTGCAGAGCACCCCCCCGGCCCCCTGGTCCAAAACAGTCCAGTGGCACCTTTAAGACCAGGTTTTATTCAGGTACAAGCTCTCCCTCCTCATGAGGCTTGAGCAGCAGCAGACACTTGTTTCTTATTTCTTAGATGCAAGGGCTAAAAAGACTGAGACAGAGTTGCCCTCTCCTTCAGGGCTGATGCAGACCCCTCTCCCAAGGTTAATTTGTGATAGCATCCATTAAAGCTACTTACCCAATGTTCACAACCACCGAATTGCTGTTTCTAGCCAAGAAGCGACATACCCTTTCATAGGCTCCTGAAAAACAGCCCCCCCCCAGAAGATTACTATGTTTCCTGATAGTTTAGGAGGGTAGCTGCGTTTGTCTGCAGCAGGAAACCTCGATTTGAGATTAGAGAGCTAGATTTGCACAACAAGATTTTTGTGGTATAAGGTTTTGAGAGGCAAAAGTTCCCTTCAGCAGCAAAGTATTTGATGAATACGATAGGTATCTGAGGAAGGGAGGTTTGACTCATGAAAGCTTATGGCCCTGGGAATCTTTTTCATCCCTAAGGCATTACAGGACTGAAATCTCTTGTACTTCCGGAAGCAGGAATCCCTGAAGATCTTGCTTTTATATCTCACATTGGTTTTACTACGGTGTTCGAGGAAGCTTACACAGGATTCCACGCGGGAGTGATGTCATCACATAGGGAACGTCATGTGGTGACACTCTGGTTTGAGGGCAAAACTTTATGGTAAAATTGCCCTCAAACCATAGAGTTTTTCCCCAAAACCAGAGTGTTGCTGTGTGACATCCGTGCAGTGATGATGTCACTTCTGCTTGACATCATTGTGTCAGGGATGTCGCTGTGCGATGTTGCTGTTTGGGGGAGGGGTTTCCCCCATTGGCGGGTAAAAGCACCAAAAAGTGGGGGACCCCCGACCCCTGCCTGGGGAGTGGGAACCCTAAGAGTTGCGCTGCTGGATCAGACCAGTATTCCATCTTGTCTTGCAAGTTGTGGCATAGAGGTGTCTGAAGGGACTTATATACCCCTTGGGCGTAGAAGGGCAACATATTTTTTATACATTTCCTCTTGCTGATGGTAAATATGAGACTGCTCTTACTGCACTGAGGGATTTTTTTGTGTGTGCCCAAAGTTAAGGTGGTAGCTAATCATGATAAATGTCGTCAGCATGTACAGAAGCCAGGAGAGCCAATTTTACAAGATGTTGCTGTCTTGAGAGGCTTAGGACGAATCTGCATTTGTCTTTCCGACCGGTGTCCGAGCCTTCTGACTCCGTCTTCAAAAAAGCTGTCGTTTCGCACCTCAACAAAGCTAGCATACTTTTGCATGTCTGCATATGTTTATCGCCCTCTCATGGCAGCTCCACTGTCATTGCGCTTCCGCACCATTTCAAATGAATCTTCTCCAAACAACTTTCAAACAAGCATAGAGAAAGACGGTGTCACAGCAGCAAAAAACGGATTTAAAAATGCAAATGAAGATTCGACCTTAATTGGCCTCTGTGAGTTTCGAGCATTGGGTGATGAGCTTGTTAGAGCCCAGCTGGTTGAAAAGGCAAATATACCTTTTGTAAGAGAACAGTTGCTTTTAGACCTAGGACTCTTTTGGGAGAAAGCTATAGCAATAGCAATTCAAACTGAGGCAGCTTTGAATGAAACTATAGGATGATAAGTTTGGGCACTGGAGACAAAGTACGAAATGTGGGCTTGTTCCAGAAAACTCCCAACACAGAAGAAGAAGAGGAGGAGGAGGAGGAGGAGATTGGATTTATACCCTGCCCTTCACTTGGAGTCTCAGAGCGGCTTACAAACTCCTTTCCCTTCCCCTCCCCACAACAGACACCCTGTGAGGCGGGTGGGGCTGAGAGAACTCTGACACAAACTGCTCTTTCAGGAACAGCTGTGCCAGAGCTTGTGACTGACCCAAGGTCACATCAGCAGGTGCAAGTGAAGGAGTGGGGAATCAAACCCGGTTCTCCCAGATTAGAGTCGGCGCACTTAACCACTACACCAAACTGGCTCTCTGAAACTGAACTGAAAGAACCTACTGAAAAGCTGACATCAGTTCACTGACATCAACAGGATTGGGAAGGGAGGGGAATTGAACTGCCAGGTGGTCCGCATGGTTGCTTTCTTTTACTTGTGAGGTGGAATATAAGCCAGGAACAGAAAATGTAACAGCTGATGGTTTGCCTTGACTGCCCTTGCTGTCCCCAGACACTTTGTCAGGAGAGGACGTTGAAGCCCTTCTCTCAGGTATCTCAGCTGTGGATACAAAACAGAAACTCCAAACTTTATGTTTAGCATGCCCAGTCCAGCAGAAATCAAGGGGATTCTGGGTGACTAAATGGCCTACTAACGTAAGGGGAATTGATTCAGAGCTGTTCCCTTACTTTAGAGTGCACGATGAGCTTTCATTACAAAATGGTTGTATTTTATGAGGTATACATCGACTAATTGTTCCAGAACAGTTGCAGCCTATGTTTATACACCTTGACCATGATAAACATCAAGGAATTTTATAGCCTAACAATGGCAGGATCTGAATTAATGGCCTGGGTTGAACTCTCAGATGGAGGCAGCCATTTAGGCTTATGTCCCATGTCAGTTACATGATAAGAGCACACCCAGCACCATTGCAGCCATTTCCACATTCTGTATGGGAAAAGATTCCAACTGATATTGTGGGACCTTTTGATACTGTCCCCACTGAATGTTGTTATGCTATTACCTTAATAGATTATTTTAGTAAGTGGCCAGAGATAGCATTTACGTCACAAGCTACTTCTGCTGCTGTGATCAAGTTTTTGGCTGTCGTTTTCAGTAGGGAAGGGTTAATCTCTGATAGGTAAAAAGGTTCCCTTGCTCAAAAGCCAGTCGAATCTGACTCTAGGGTTGCGGTGCTTATCTCCGTTCCAAAGCCGAAGAGCCAGCGCTGTCCGAAAATGTTTCCGTGGTCATGTGGCCAGCATGACTAAACACCAAGGCGCATGGAACGCTGTGACCTTCCAACCAAAGTGGTCCCTATTTATCTACTTGCAATGTCTTGCTTTCGAACTGCTAGGTTGGCAGGAGCTGGAACTAGAGGCGGGAGCTCATTCCGTCATGCGGTAACTCGGGTCTCAAACTGCTGAACTACCGACCTTCCACAGCCTGCAGTTCAGCGTCTTAACCACTTGAGCCACCGCAGCATATAAGAAAACACACAGAACCCTTGATGTTGAAGTACCCTGCTGAATTTTCTTTTTAAAAAAAATGAGAAATTGTAGGCTCTTACGAATGCTTCCAACTTGACCAACTCCTCCATGGATATAAAGTAGTCCTTTCCTGTTCCCAGCAGGTGATGGTGAGCTGGGCCAATAAACCCTTACTGGCACATGTTCAAAAAACAGATCCTTGATGAGCAGCCTTGAATCCTTCTTTGGTGGGATTCCATCGAATATAATTCTCATGATTTTAGTCTGACTGCAAATGCCAAGTTTCTCCAGAAAGAGCCCCTTTTTAGAATAAGAGAAATGGAGAAGATAATCAGTGTTTTGTCGATATCAGGACATTTCAATATTTGAAGCAAAAGGGGGAAAGATTTACTTTCCCTTTGCGAAGAGGCTGAAAATGGAAACAATCCATCCCAACTAGGGATGGGCACAGACCAGTTGATGAACCAAAGTTCATCATGAATTTTGGCTGGTTTGTGGTTTATGAAGCAATGTTTATGAACTGAAGGACCACCATGAACTTTCACAAATTTTGATGCAGTTTGTGGTGGTTTGTGAAGAGCAGAGAACAGGGGGTTTAAACAACTCACCTGTTTGGTTTAAATGCCCCCCCCCCCCGCTTTCTGCTCCCTGTAAAAATTGCTCCCTGGAAATTGCTCATGAACTGAAACTTTAAATTGCTCAGGAACATGGCCACACAACAGAGGTCGGGCCAGATAGCAGCCTTGTTTAGTGAGTACTCCAGAGGACTGGTGGAGGTGGGCTCAGTGGACATGGTGGGGTGCTCCCTCACCATTACCTCTGCTAAATACTCTGCCCTCACACACCTGGCATCCCCACCACTGCGGACCTCCCAGTTCACCAAACCAGTTGTAAGGATTCTCCCTGGTTGGACTCTTTGAGGTCGAGGTGCCAGGCTGTGGCCTCATCCACCCACTGTTCCCTCTGGTCACATCTGCTGGCCTGTAGCCTCTGCGTTTCTCTGCAGAGCTTATGTTTCCATTGCACAAGCTCTGCATTCTGGAGAGTGGTGCTGCCTTTTATCTAGGGATCACACATACAGACCAGTCTGTACTCTCCTTCCTTGTAGACAGGATGCAACCTGGCAGTGATGCCCACCCACAACCTCTCTGCCAAGGCTCTGACCCAATGGGAAAACAGGAGTTTCTTTGGAGCCCAGCTGCCATATGGAGGTTAGTGGCCAGTCCAACCCTCAAACCAAGGGGATGACTTGCCCCAGGTGGGCCGTATAGGTGGAGAGCCAATTGGCTGTATCCTGGAAGGACTTGAGGACAGACACCATTTGGGAGAGGGCCAGCCAGTTGTTGGAGCTGTTGCTGAGCTCCTCTTCCCCATGCAGTATGGTCATGGAGGAGATGACATCCTGCATCATGCTCTTCTGCTCCACCAAACATGCAACCATGGCATAGGTGGAGTTCCAGCAGGTGAATAAGTCCAGGGTGAGCTGGTGTTCAGGCTCTTCCCCCTCCCCCCCACCTTTCAAACAGCAGATGGGCAGAAGTGGGTGGCCAAGTGCTGGCAGGTCTCCAGCAAGTAAACAGTACAGGCAGGGGTCATTTCGTAGAAAAAGAGCTATGGGAACTCGTTAGCATAACTCATTAGCATATGCCACCCCCCCTGACTTCAGGGGACCGGCGGTGGACCTGCAAGGCCAGCGGGAGTGCGAGGAAGCCCCGCCAAGGCCATCCCTGGCCACAGGCAGGCAGGGGTGGGGAGTGGCGGGGAGGAAGCAACTTACCCTCCCTCTTCTCCTGCCTCCTCCTGGCTGAATGAGGGCTGGAAGCGGGGCGGCCGGAAGCAGGGGGCGGGGCTTCGTCATGTGCCCCGCCCCCTGCACCTCACCCGGGGGAACTGTGTTCCCCCGCATTCCCCCCCCGAAATGACCTCTGAGTACAGGGGTTGCAGTATACAGAATCAACAAAAACAAAATACTGCAAGCATGCATACAAATATTTTTAAATATCTTTCAGCCTTGTGAGCGTGCAAAAATACTGTCTTTATCCCTCACACACAATCAACAAAAACAACATACTGCAAGTGTGCATACAAATATTTTTAAATATTTTTTCAGCCTTGGGAGCATGCAAAAATACAATCTTTATCCCTCACACATAACACTAATACAATGGTTTCATGTTCTTACAAATGATAAGATGATTAGAAGATAAGATGATGGACGAAATTCTCCGGAATACCCTCCGTTTCGTTTCGTGGAAACTTCTTCCACATCACTACGATAAGCCGTCTTCGTCAATTCATAGGAATTCCATAAAGATTCAATGGTTTTCATAGAAGGGAAACATTACCTCTCCACACTCTTCAGAGTATAATATAACGGGCTAAGCTGCCTAAGAGTGTGGAGAAGTAATGTATTAGTGTTATGTGTGCGGGATAAAGATTGTATTTTTGTATGCTCATAGGTCTACCAGCAAGGTCTGCATCCCAAGTGTGGGCTGGAAATAATGCCCCAGGACTGGAGAAGGTGGGAGGAGAGACAGCGGCTTTCTGGCACTGGACTGGGAGGGGCCATGGAGGGGTGTACTGGAGGCAGGAGCAGCAACAGGGAGTTGTGTGGAAGGGGAGGATCCCCCCCCCGCATCACTGCTGTCAGGGACTTCTCCAAAGAGTGTTCACAACCACTGGTCTTTGGGCAGTGCCAACTACTCTTTGTCCAAGATCTCTAATGATGCCCTACTAGGGGTGGGCTTTTGTGGGCTGGCAGGATGGGTTTGGTGCCTGGGGACAGGGGCCTGTGGTATGTGGCCGGTGGAGAATGTCTTCCTCCCATGACAAGCACCTTTTGCATCTACTTTCACCCTCATGGCACAGAGGGGTTGATTCACAATCAGGAGGGGTGGGAGGGTATAAAATGAGAGTCCCTAGCCAAGGAACCCAGTAGCTAAGCCCTTCTGCTTGGCATGAGCAGAGAGACAGGGTGGCTCAGAGCCTTGGGTCCACCTAAGACCCCCAAATCCCAGCAGGGGAGAGGAATCACAATCAAAATGTGGATCCTCAGCTGAGGAACCCTCTAGCTAAGCCCCTCTACTTGGCATGAGCAGAGAGACAGGGCAGCTCAGAGCCCTGAGTCCACCTAACACCAAAACCCCAGCAGGGGAGAGGAGTTCCCAATCACAAGGCAATGTGCTCTGCTAGTTCGCTTTTAAGAAGTTCCCTGCCTCTCTCTGTGGCTGTGAACAGCCAAGAGAAAAGAGGCTGCAGAGCTGAGCTGAGCAGAGCATATGTATAGCATTCTGGTCTCATAGAGCAGAATGGAAACTCTGTTATTGGCAGCCAGCAGTGCCTGTTAAGCTTTGGAGGGCTCCTATTGGTGTTTCCAAGGCTGGAGAATTCCACCCCCCGTTGCCTTGGAGTTTTGTAAACAGTCTAATTGAGCAGAAACAGCCTGGAAAATGTAATCATCCATGAACCGCCATGAACAGCACCAAAGTCTGTGAAATGTTCGTGTTGGGTACACTTTCATGAACATTGTGAACCAGGCAAAATTCATGATGAACTTTACTTCATGAGCTGGTTCGTGCCCATCCCTAGTGAGCAGTCGAACACAGGAGAATTTGAAAATACCATTGTTTTTATCACTATCGCCTGCAAGCTGATGCAGTGACCAGCACTGTGGAAGAGGTATTGACATTGGGAGATAGGCTTTGAACTCTCCTGGCCTTTTAACTTTTAGCCCATAAACAACTACCTAGATTAGCAAGGTAAACATGATAGCACAAGATGTTCTAAGATGGCAGGATATAACAATCAAAGGTCCCGGTCACACAAGTTGGATGATCCACCACTGAAGGGAGGCAAGTCAGAGCCCAAGCAAAAAGAACCGCGGGAGCACGACCTGATGTGCCCCCACGGCTCCGTGCTCTGTGCCCCGGCATCTGATCAAATAGTGTGCAGCAAACCGGCAGTAGCACAGTTGTGAACATGCATGGGATGGGGTTGACATTGGGAGATAGGCTTTGAACTCTCCTGGCCTACAGATAACTTTTAGCCCATAAACAACTACCTAGATTAGCAAGGTAAACATGATAGCACAAAATGTTCTAAGTTGGCAGGATATAACAATCAAAGGTCCCGGTCACACGAGCCGGATGATCTGCCACTGAAGGGAGGCAAGTCAGAGACCAAGCAAAAAGAACCGCGGGAGCGCAACCTGACGTGACCCCATGGCTCCGTGCTCTGTGCCCCGGCAGCTGATCAAACGGTGTGCAGCAAACCGGCAGTAGCGCGGTTATGCGCATGCATGGGATGGCGAACGGCACCGGCGGCGATGGCCTACCGGTGCTTCCCCGACTAGACGCCTTCCGTTGGCCCGCATCATCCGGTAGGGACTGCTGTTTTGCTAGTACCTTTTTGATGTGCGTTTGTGGGCCTAAGGGATGGATCGGGGACGGGTGCAAGCCACTTCCCAGATGTTGCTGCGGCTCAGAGCCCTGAGTCCACCTAACACCAAAACCCCAGCAGGGGAGAGGAGTTCTCAATCACAAGGCAATGTGCTCTACTAGTTCGCTTTTAAGAAGTTCCCTGCCTCTCTCTGTGGCTGTGAACAGCCAAGAGAAAAGAGGCTGCAGAGCTGAGCTGAGCAGAGCATATGTATAGCATTCTGGTCCCATAGAGCAGAATGGAAACTCTGTTATTGGCAGCCAGCAGTGCCTGTTAAGCTTTGGAGGGCTCCTATTGGTGTTTCCAAGGCTGGAGAATTCCACCCCCCGTTGCCTTGGAGTTTTGTAAACAGTCTAATTGAGCAGAAACAGCCTGGAAAATGGAATCATCCATGAACCGCCATGAACAGCACCAAAGTCTGTGAAATGTTCGTGTTGGGTACACTTTCATGAACATTGTGAACCAGGCAAAATTCATGATGAACTTTACTTCATGAGCTGGTTCGTGCCCATCCCTAGTGAGCAGTCAAACACAGGAGAATGTGAAAATACCATTGTTGTCATCACTATCGCCTGCAAGCTGATGCAGTGACCAGCACTGTGGAAGAGGTATTGACATTGGGAGATAGGCTTTGAACTCTCCTGGCCTTTTAACTTTTAGCCCATAAACAACTACCTAGATTAGCAAGGTAAACATGATAGCACAAGATGTTCTAAGCTGGCAGGATTTAACAATCAAAGGTCCCGGTCACACGAGCCGGATGATCTGCCACTGAAGGGAGGCAAGTCAGAGACCAAGCAAAAAGAACCGCGGGAGCGCAACCTGACGTGACCCCATGGCTCCGTGCTCTGTGCCCCGGCAGC